CATTTTAAAGATTGCAGGCTACATGTGGCATTAAACATTTTTTAGAGTTGTTTTTAGCAGCAAAGGGAACTCATGAGCAAAACAGCTGTAAAGACATTCAGTTTTCTTTCCAACAAGATTTAATATTTAATACTGGATTTGATTGTTGTTAGGGCCTGCAGAGAACTAGTAATTATGTTTGTTGTGCAATTAGAGAAACAGACATAAGCAGGATTTAAAAGCAAAAGGTAAGATATTTCCCACAGGGGTTAGCGGGGAGGAAATATCACACATTTAGTTACTTCAGGATGTATTCAGTGCTTTATGTTTCATGCTTTTTGCACATTAGATTCCCGTCAGCGCACGATCAATAGTAAGAAAGTAGAAATGACTTATTCACTATTTGTTTACAGACAACAGTGATCTCGTGCCTTGTGCAATTTCAGACAAAAACTGTGTCAGTCTTGCCCTTTTAGCTATCCCTGTCATATTTTGAGTGCAGAGGTCTACAACACAATGTGCTCAAAGGCCATAATTTGTCTAAGATGGTGTAGGGACCCATACGAATAAGACAGCCTGTCATTTATTTCAACATCTGCTGAGCTTGTTAACATTTTCATTTATTATTCAATGGGAAGGGAATTAAACGGTACCGAATATACAGAAGTACCAATACTCAATTATAGAGTCTAAACTATTTATTTAAGAAAATGACTTTAGCAGAATTAATTCACACACAGAGTAGATGTAGGGCAGGCACCCCATGTACACAGGATATAGTCCTCAACATGGTCTTTCTGGTGGCTCCTATTCCCAACCCTGAACCTAAACGCGCTTTGCAGAGCCGTGGAGACGTTTCTGATCACCCTGATTTTACTTTCACATCTGCAATTAACTCCTAATTCACTTCACTAGTTTATTTCTTTGACTCATCAGTTCATGTGTTCAACTCTCTTTGAATCATCTCCATGGAGACAAAAACATAAAGAAAATTCTTTCTATATACATATATAAATTAGTTTTTTTGGTAAGCAATATGCTAATATTGACTACAAGAATATTACAAAACAGTGTCTGAGCTCAGAAAATGATGCAACTCTCACTTTCACCCTACAACTGAAGGCGCAATGGACATTAAAATAACAGAGTTATAACAAAGTCTGGTAATACAACTGCGGTTCCATATTCTTAGCCTTTCTGGCATTTTTATTGTACATGTTTAACATGTGTTTAAAGACACATTAAATTACAAGGGTTTAAATGCCTCTGTTTTCTGTCTTTACGCAACTGAATGTAGACATTAATGCTTTTAATCCTTTGGTTACACCGCCCTGAACATAACAGCCCTTAGAAATTAGCTGTAAGAGTGTGACACCACATGGTGCTGGCCATATGCAAATTTATGTTCCCTCTTTTCCAATAGTAAATGACTCCCACGCAGAGCAGGAGAGAGTGTGCTGCGGGGACGAGAGTGGGAAGCAAGCCTGTGATTTAAGGAATCACTTCTACGAGCTGCGCTAGTTTTAAATACCTCTGCTTAATTGCTCTGTCATGACAGGGTAATTGCCACCGTTGGTACAACCACAGAGGGTGGTACCAGCAGGCGGGCATGCAGAAATCCACCGAGAGCCGGGGAGTGGAGCGAAAAGGGGAGAAGTGGAGCTCTTTCACTGCGGCTTTGATTGGCACCTGCTCTCCTGGATCCAACAAGATCTGTGTGCTTCATATTCAGCCTGGATTTGGGTGCATTCAGACTGCGGCACTCCTGTAGACGTGAAAAAGAGACATTTGGTATTAAAACTGACTGCATGATTGTTAAAGAATTATAATTAATGATATTATTTAGATTTATGCTGTCTCTAATAAATGCACTGATGTAGTTGTCACAAGGCTTTGTGTCCAACCTCCACCACATTAATTAATGCACTGTGTTAAACCTGCATCTTGAAAATGAACGCAGAGATTTTGCATTAGAAGCTGTGAGCATCTCGTTCCTGTTCAGGTGCAGCTGGCAGTTTTCATCTGAATCTTTAACCCTTCAGGTTAAAAGTATTAAAAGAATAAATATGGGAAAAAAAGACAAACATTAAAAATTAGTTTTTTACAAACTGAAGGAGCAGACAGAGCTGGATACAGGAGGAGTGATGAAAGTAGAGGAAAGCAAAAAAACATTACTGTTAACATGAAGAGTCAAAATGTTTGGGAAGTAAGTAGTAACATTTATTCGGAGTGATCTCACCAAGACACGAGTTAAAGTCAGATCAAATTAGAATAACTGAATACTAAAGGGGAAAAGGGCAAAAGAACAAGCAATAAAATAAAAAAAAACTTGGTGATTTTAAGTTTTGTGAAACGAAAAAGTGAAACTCCAACAACTTAATATTACACCTTAATGTAATTAGCTGCTTTTAACCACCAGGGACTGTTCCAGCCTAAGTAATGGACTTAATTATAAAGAGCAACACAGATTAGAAAAACTGTGCATCTATTTAATTAAAGGTCACCAAAGTTAAAATAAAAGATTTCCACAAGACAGAAAAAAAGCATGAACATGGCAGCTGGAGCAGGGAAAATCATGTGTGATCCTCTGTAGACACCCACCTTGTGAACCAGCAAGAATTTCTGAACTTCCACAGCTAGATCGTACAAATTAAAGACTTTAAACACAAAAAAAATCCCTTCAGTCAAACACACAAAACAATGTGCATGAATTTAATCCAATAAGAAACTCTAAGCCTGCCCAACAAATTTTGTGGATAGCAGCAGACGTTGAAGCAAATAAATCTCCGGAGCATATTACAGCAAATAAAACAGTGATGAACAGGAAAACACAAAATTAAATATTTTGTGTTTGCTAGAGAACAAATAAGTGGAAACATTTCTCATAGAACAGCTGAAAATCTTTGGTTATCAATGCTGAGGGAGTTAGACGAGTGACCAGAAGGCAGGTGGCTGGAGTCTGCAAGGCTAATGGAAACAAACCAAAGACAAAAACATAAATGACCCTAATGATGCTTAATCTACACCAGCTGGTGGTGAAGCAGATCATCCTGCATCAACCCACACAAAAACTGGTTGAGCCCATGCCAGCTTCAGACAGGAGGAGGAGCAGAGAAGCCAGAACAAGCCAGACTTTACCAATAAATGGGTGTTGTTATGGAACTTGCCGAGTACTTCAGTGTAATTTTCCCAATCTGTAGGAGTCAAAAGAACAATAAAACTAAACTTCACAATGAGCAAAAAGTAAAGTTGCCTCAAACAAAGCAGAGGAACTTTCTTCATTATGTTTTTTCTGCATGTAAAATCAGTTTAACTTGAGTTGTATTATTTGCAGGATTTAATACAGAATGGTACAAGTTTTAAACGGGACTCATTAATTCTGCTTTTTCTTCATGTTCAGCATTTTCCATGAATTCATAACAGTGTTGGAAAAACGCTTTGAGCAAAATGCATTAAAAAAAAAAAAAAAAAAAAAAAAAAAAAAAAACCATATTTTGGTTTAGAGTACTGCAACTTGTGAAGTTAAACCACAATCATTGCGACAGATTGCTGTAACAGGATGAATAATGACATTCAATTCATATTAAAATTACAGGAATTTATTTTTTAAATAAACGCTGACTCAGATTCTGATCATCTGTTCAAGTTTGTTTATTTTGTAGATTTTATTTTCACCCAGACCACAGCATATTTCAGACATTTTGCAGATGTTTGACTTTGTGAGAAAGTCAAACATCTGAAAAACAATATTTTCAGTTCTTGGTGGGGTTCGCTTATGTAAATAGTTCTCATTAACAACAACAAAAATATTTTAGAGAAAGGTAACCAATGAGCTAGCAGGGTTGACATTAGCAGATATTGAGACAGATATAGACCAAAAACGAACAGCGTTAGAGTTCAAAAAAGGAGTCTTGAATACAATACACCTCATCAGAAATCACCAGGAGTCTGCAGTTGTTTTTCTGATTATAGCCTTTGGAGGTGGTCATTATTTGTTATGTCGAGAATTTTGTGTGTGTGTGTGTGTGTGTGTGTGTGTGTGTGTGTGTGTGTGTGTGTGTGTTTTAAAGAAAAGCAGATAAAAATAACATTTCTGTCACTGCATTTGCAAATGAGATTCTGTTTTTGTTATTTTGTAGCCTGTAAATGTACCTTCCTTCTTATGTCCACTGTTTTTCATCTGTATTTTTTATTTTTATTTTTTTTATTTAACCTCATTTACAAGAGTGTCCTGGCATATATTTCAAGACAATGCTAAAACATAACACCCACATCCAAAGAACAAAAATAGATGTACTCATTAAAAAAATCAAAGAGCATCAAAATGTAAGCAAAACTACAACAGATCCCGTAAATGCAAACATCTGTGAATGCATTTAAGTTTAATTTCATTTACTTGACGTAATTGAATTTGAAAATGTGAAGTCCAATAGACAGAGGAACAAATATTTTAAATTGCACTTCCCTCTAGTGGTTAAAAGATGAATTGTTCCTCAAAGTTTTTATGGATTTTTATGCGACTTTTACATCATAGATAATAGTTTTAGTCATCAAAAGGAACAGTTCTTATTAGAGGTTTACACGAGGTTATCAGTGTTGTATTCATTTTCATTCATTGCAACAATTTAAGTGATTTGAGCAAAACAAACTCGATTTTTATTGATTTTCTCTTTTACAAACATTGGACGAAGAAAAAAAAAACACAAATACTTTTTGTCCAATAGACACAATTCTAATACATTTTTAGTAAATTCCACACCGTTTATAACAAACACAATAATACACTTTTTTTTTTTTTTTTACCAATAACTCGTTTTTTTTTCTCTTTAAAATACAATTTTGCTTCGCTTACATGGTTCAAATATGCGGTCTGTTTTTAAGTAAAACTACTAAGGCCCCTACATACAAATACCACAACTTACATCTGATTGCCGTAATCCAATCTAGACGAGCGGTTTTAACTACATTACCCAGCATGCAGTGGGAAATACGTCTGTTCACTTGATTGGTTGGTGAGTCTCCGCCCCTGACAGTCCCCCGGTGTTCTTAGGGTGAACTGGTATGTTTCTAGGAAAGCTCACTACTACTGGGTGTCCGAGCTGTCAGAAAGCAACACTAACATGGCTGCTGGAACCCGTATCTGCTGCAGCTTGAGAAATGCCAGAACCTTCTTCGCTCGGTGCCACAACAGAAGCGAGCAGCGGTTGTTTTCCAGCTCTACGCACCAGGAGAATGAGCTTGAACTCCGAGATTCCTCAGTGGCCGCTGCAAACTTCCAGACCAGACCCAGCTTGGTAAGACTGGTGCTGGAATACAGACTGCAGGTTAAAGCTGGGGTTCTGGGTTCACGTCCTGGAGTTTTCCCAGTTCGGGCTAATGAGGTTTGGTGACAAAGTTGTTAAGAAACTGCAGTCCGAGTTCACGTTGAGGCCTGAATCAGACCATCTTTCCGGGTTGATTATTAACCAACACCATGCTGACTAGAAATACATGTGATTTAATGTTACAAATAACCAAGATCTGCTTTCTAAATGACCAAGATGTGCAAAAATAAACCTAATGTTTGTTTTACTTTTCATGACTTGGATTCCCTTTTTGTGAAAAGTTATCTATTTCTGCAGAAAAATCCATGTTATGACATAATCAATGACTGAATTTAATACATTACCTTAAACAAAGTATTATCTTAGAGTAACATGAACATGAATGTAATACTGTTTCTTCCAGCCTCTAATGCTAGTGAAAACATCCTACTAAAATATAGGACTGGATTATTTTGGTAATCGTTTTATTTTAGGAAATCAAAAGATTATTTTTAGTGGGATTCTGTGCTCCATCTGATGGGGTGACACATTCTGGCCTTTTGGCCTATAACCTTCTGGCATCTGTAGGTCACAGATCATTTGGAAAAAAAAAATGTTTGCTCAAGCTTTTTATAAGCAAATAATATTATTTATTTCTACTAACTGAACAAATGTGTCTGTCAACACTGTTTCAAAGACACATTTTTGTTATTAGTATTTATTTTCCTGGTTTTCTCTTCCAGGAGAGATTAACAGACGAGAAGGTTCTGCCGTTTTCAGCTTTCTTGACTGACAGCTTTGGCCGCAGACATAACTATCTTCGCATCTCTCTGACTGAGAAATGCAACCTTCGCTGTGAGTAAACTAGGGCTGGGATGAGACCCGCTGTACAATAAACCTGAGTAAATTTACCACAACAAACAAGGTAATGAGTGTCTGCTGCTAAAATAACAGAACATATTGATTACATTTGTTGTGTTATCTATAACTCTAAATTATAATGGTTTATTGTGGTGGATCTGATGAACTTTTCTCCTTGCTGCAGAAGCAACAAAGCTCAGAAGAACTTTCATGACGATCGTTGCTAAAAGTTATTTTCCATTTCACTTATCGTTGCTTGCAAAAATTGTAACTCTACAGGCTGGCTTTCTTTAAGTTTCATTGTAGTTTTCAGGTGTTTGTTGCACAGAATTTAATACCCTTTACACTAATTTTTCATAATCAAAGAATGCAACTTTGATGGTTTCTGTTTTGTTTCTTCCAAGACCTCCAAGTTTTAAATTGATCTTAGTGTTTTTTTTTTTTTTTTTTCATTAAGTATTTAGATCCACTACGTTTTAATACAATCTGCCAACAATATTTCGGTTCTATCTTAAAAAGAAACGTATCCCTAGCTATTGCTTTAAATGAAAGCAACAAACTGAAATAGTCAGTTCGCTAAACAAACGTATTTAGATAAAATTTGTTTCACTTAACAAAAAACACGTATTAGATGGACAAATAAGCAAATCTTTGTAGTACAAGAATGGATTATCAGAACAGTCGTGAGGAAGTTATATTTTTTGTTGGACTCTACATTTAAAGGGTTAAAATTTTACTCACAGTTTGCTTTTAAATAATTCAACTATTTTGATTATGTAGTTTGCATAAATTTAGATTTTGGAATAATAGCCTGTCTAATAAATGATCATGTTACAAAATTTTGACTTTAGAATAACACCCATTATTCTACTGTTTCCTTTTTCCTCCTTCATGTTTTGTGCCTATAATGACGTGTTTTTATTTAGCTCGCATGTTGGATGTTCCTGTCGCTCAGGTCAGTATTGCATGCCAGAAGAGGGAGTGAAGCTCACGCCGCGGGGCCAGCTGCTCTCCACCTCCGAGGTGCTGACCCTTGCTCAGCTCTTTGTCCGAGAGGGAGTGGACAAAATCCGCCTCACTGGAGGGGAGCCTCTCATCAGACCCGATGTTCTGGATATCATTGGTAAGAAACACTTACTGGGCCTTGAACGTGTTCACACTTTGTTGTCGTTACAGTCACAAATGTAATAGTGTTTTTTTTTTTTTTTTTAGATTTTTATGTGCTAAACTAACAACTTACTACATAATTGTGAAGTGAAAGAAAATTGTTTGGATACAAATACACACCACATTTTAAGTAGATGAATGTAACATTTTTCCTACCTACTTGACATTAAAGCACTATTTGAATGGTTTGTCAGATAAAATCCCAATGAAATTCATTGAAACTTTTGCATGTAATATGTCAAAATGAGCACAATACAAAGATGGAGGCTTAGGATGTCAGAAGCTATTAGCAAGAATGAACAGAAGACTTCTCTGTGTGACTCCTTTCTGCTCCGATTTATTAATTATAAATAATATTTATGAAACTACGATCTTTGTCAGATCAAAAGAATGAACAATAGATGACACGCTCATAAATGTTCCTCCTACTGAGATAACAAGCTCAAGGCTGAGCAGCAGGAAGATTACAATACAGAATACAAGATTCTCTTCTTCTCCAAAATGCCCCGAAACTGTGCTTAGATTTGTTTTTACAGTTAGACTTATTTTAATGAGCTGAATTAATTATTTCTCAAGTAGTACACACGTTCCTTTGAAGAGGACTTTTTTTTTTTTATGTTTCTCTCAGTGATATCTCTGAAAGCTTCTGCTGAACACGGGGTTGTTTATATGGCTTCCTGAATGATCAGATGGATGTTGTAACAGTCCTCTCAGACGGTGGCTCATGTGCCAGCCCAGCTGACAGCACCAGAACTGAACAGATTTTTGCTGCAGTCCTTCAGGTTGAAACAAAAGTTTGTGGAAGTGAAGATGCTTTGTCACATTGCAGCAGTTGGTTCAGTTTAATGACTGATTATCTTTGCCTTAATTTTACAGCCTCGTTTGTAAATGAACCTTTTCAACCTCTGCTCTGTGAGCCGCCTTTGTACTGTTAACGACACAGTCACAGAAAGAGGACTAAGGGCTGTGGCATAAAGATAAACACTTACTGCAGTGTCATGGGTCAGGTGACCAGCGGGATGTCAGGCGACTCGTTTTAAGCTCTAAGCTCCAGTGGAAAATTAACATTAATCTTTTAATCCACTGCTTTTCTGTAGAACATTATGTTTTTTTTCCTTTAATTGTGGTCTCTCTAACTGATATTTGGTTAAAAATGATAAGCACAGATTATAAAATATGAAAGAAAGAGCCAGGAGTTTCAAAAACAATCAGTTTGAGACTCTTAAGAGACACTTATGTCATCAAGGTTTTTGTATGTTTTTGCTGCTTTTGAATTCAATTTAATGGTTGATGTACTTAAGTTAGAACCACGGGCCATTCTGCTGTCAGTGTCATCCAAAGCTGTCTTGCCGCAAAGCAGAAACTTAAGCATAAAACAAGTAGAAGCCACTGCTTTATTACAATTTCTCAAGATGATTATTTCAATTGCAACAGTAATAAGGTATGAGTATTTTGTGAACTCTGTAGTGTTTTGTAGAATGAAGTCCTACAAAATGCTGAGTAATGCTGAGTAATCTGTTTTTGAGAGCAGTTTAAATCATTCAGTCACTTGTGGTTTGACATTAAACCCTTTGGTTTATAGAATACATTTTTCTTCACTCTTTCATTTTTCTCTTCTGCTTTTTTCTTCTGCAGCTGAACTGAAAAAGCTAGTGGGTCTGAAAACTGTTGCAGTTACAACCAACGGGATTAACTTATCCAGGCTTTTGCCGAAGCTGAAAGATGCTGGACTGGACCTGATTAACATCAGCCTCGACTCTTTGGTTCCAGCAAAATTTGAGTTTGTAGTCAGGCGAAAAGGTGAGGATAAAGATTTAACCTGTAAGGACTGTTGAAGCGCACCCAGACACCCCTAGCAAACATGTGGTAAAATAAACTGTTCTTTATTTGCAGATTTTTTTTCCCCATTATTATTGAACCCCTACTTCTCTCCCGTAAAATTTGACATGATTGCTGCAAACAGAGAAAGAGATATTTTAAATAAAACCTGAGGTAGAGAATCAGGCCCACAGCATCACTGATTCTCCACCATACTTGATATTTGGGATGAAGAACTTTTCCGCGGATTCATATTCATCCTACATGCCAGAGACCTTTAATCTTGGTCTCATCTAATTAAAAGAGATTTTTGGGAGTGATATTGACTAGAGACAACTGGTTGCTATGGAGACTGATGCCACTCTTTGTTTTTATGTCCTTAACCAGCCGACTCTCTGTGTCTGATGACAAAGTACATTTGGGAATTCATTCAGGCAGATCTTTTTCTATCCCGAGTTACAAAACTGCTAAAAATCAGAATCAGTGTGTTTTGTATGTTGCTATGGTTGTTGATAAACCCCAGCAGGTTACAGTCTGCAAGCCCCAGGCAGTCAGCCTAGAGGTAGCAGCAGGCCAGAGCTCTGGGTTGTTGGCTTCAGAAAAGCAGGAACAGATGGACCGAATGAGAGTAGGAAATGAAACGGGAGAAAAAGACCAGAACATGGAAGCAGTGTTGTCTGTTCATTTTCAGATTAGTTGCTGAAAATTGCAAACTGAATTTAATCTTAACGTTTGAGATTAGTAGAACAATAAATGTGATGTTTAATTTCCATTGTGGCAGATCAATTAACCACCTCCCACAGAGAAGATTACCTGCAGCTCCCTGGATTTGTTTTATTTTCTGCTCATAGAAACAAATGATCATATTCTCTATAGTTGATTGTCATAAAGCTCTGACTACTGCAGAGGGATTGGATGCTGATGTTTTTACACTTATGAACAAAGAAAACCTTTAAAGCTAAAGTAGAACACGTTGAAGGAAATATTACTTATTTATTTTTGTGTTGGTTTCAGTAACTTCTTTATTAACAATACCCTTAACTTTTATTGACATTTCCATCCTTCGTTCTCCTCAGGTTTTCATAAAGTCATGGAGAGCATTGACAAAGCAGTTGAATTGGGCTACAATCCAGTCAAGGTATGTTTCAAACTTAAGGAATAATCATACATTTCTCATAAGAAAACATTTCTTAAATTACTCTTTATGGTCACACTTTGTGTAAATATATATAAAAAGCTTCAGAAAATTCCACTTTTACTACAGAAACATATTATAATACTGAAAAGTGATTTTTATTTTTTATTAGAATGAAGTTATGTCATAAAATTAATCTCACAGTTAGAAATAATTGTGAGAACATAACTGGTGCCATAATTATTTGTACTGATGACGATTTGTATAAAATAAAACTGAAGCATTTTTATAATTTTTCTTCATTGGGGCGTCTAGGAACATTCAGCTTCCTACGACTTTGTTACACTGGATCATAGATATTGCGTGACACAGTGACCCTTTTCTCATAGCCATTCAGTGTGAAAAACGAGCAAATTTTACATTTTGCACTTGGCAGATGTGTGTTGATCATTATATATCAGTTACTGGCCTAAACTTAACTAGTCTACAGACAGATGAGTGATTAAAATGCTTAAACCAAACTGGGCTGTACCAAACTATACTGGGTAGCTTTCAAGACTTGTCATCAGACTTCATTAGGCTGACCTCTACTGTCTGGTCAGAGAACTGCAGTTACACTAAATCTTCCCAATCTATTGTCAACATGCCAAACAGTTGATTACAGACCTTTCAACCTCTTTTTACCATGCTAAAAAAAATCTCCTCCCACTTTGAGGCCTTGTATTTAACATTTTTATGGTTATATAACCTTGGTCTATTGTTGTGTGCTGCCATCTGCAGATCAACTGTGTGGTGATGAGAGGCCTGAACGAGGATGAGCTCTTAGATTTTGTGCAGCTCACAGAGAAGAAGCCTCTGGAGGTTCGCTTCATTGAGTACATGCCATTCGATGGTGAGGTTTTTCTTCTCACAAAATGACTCGGTTCAGGTCAGGGAGGCGTGTATCTTCATGTAAAAGAAGTTTCTGTTGTAGATATTTTTTTTTTTTTAGCGTAAACCCATGGAACAAATTCAACATGGCTTCCTCTGGTCTCTGCAGGAAACAAGTGGAACTTTAAGAAGATGGTGAGTTACCAGGAGATGCTGGACCAGATCAGGCAGCAGTGGCCCAACCTGGAAAGGCTTCAGTCTGGACCTGCTGACACTGCCAAGGTCAGGTTCTCCACATCTGATGGAACATAATTCTTATATGCTACAAAGGTTTTCACACTTCTTAAACTTTTTAAAATTGTGTCATGATACGACAACAAACTTAAATGTATATTATTGAGATTTTATATATAATTCCATATCATAATTATACACAAGATGGTGTATAATTGTGATACAGAAGGGAAATTATACAAAAATTTCAAGATTCAGTTCAGTTCCCATGACTTTGATGCCCCTTAATAACATCCACTTCAACCACTTGCCTTCAAAAGTCTCCCTAATTAGTAAACAAAGCCAATCTATGTGAAAATTAATAGATAACTTTTTTTTTGCATTAAAATGCAGAATTCACACAAATGCAAAAATGCAGTGTGAATTCTGTAACATGAATATTTTTAGTGAAAATTGCAGAAGGATTTTAAGTAAACATCAGAAGACTTGCAGAAATGTCTGCAAGTCTTCTGAAGCAGCAGAATAAATCAAAAGCTTGCAAAATGCAAATAGACTGTAGAAGAGGAGTGAAAACTTTCAGTAAACGCAAAACTCCCACTCAGAGTATTAGAAAACTGTGCAGAACAAAAATTGTGACCTTACAGCTAAACTGTAAGGTCACAACAGTTTATAAGTTAACATGAGCTAAAAAACTACACCTAGCTGAAATACTAATGATAGCCTATAGCAGGGGTGTCAAGCTCAATTTCATCGAGGGCCACTTCAGCATATTGGCCCCCCTCAACGGGCCACATTGACGGTACAAATCAGGAGT